TTCCTTAGAACGATAAGGTAGGCTTTTAGATTACCTTCTTTTTAGTGTATCATTTCGTCCTGCTAGCTTAATTAGTGACTGAAGCGCCGTAAGGTTTAATTGCAATTTTTCCTGTGTGACCTTGTTCTTTCCCCGGTATCCTCACCCGGCTCATTTTTTTACGACACAGCGGCGGAGGGTCGGTCCAGCAGGACAGGTCGCCTTTTGAACTTGTCGGACAACTCCTTGTCAAGCTTTTCTAGCGCATGCGCGCATAGTAGAGTGCAGTTGCTATAAGTCTTGCACGTGCTTTTGTTTACAATTTGAACACTTAGCTGCACGGTACTTAGCCAGCCTCTAGTACACCCAAATTTTTAACCCTGTTCTAGTTTTTTCACTGTGCATTTAACTTTTATTCTATTATATTTACTTCTTTTTATTACTTTATTATTCATTATTATTATAATTTTATACTTATTTAATTTCAATCTTTCGTGTAAATTTTTGTTTGTGCTTATTTACTGATAGCCATCTATGTACACTCTGTTTCCATACCTTGTGATGTTCGTTTAGGTTTTATTTCTGTATATGCCATTATTCTGTGTATTATGCATTATTCTTATTGTAATTATTCTGTGTATTGTATCATTATTCTGTGTATTGTAGGCATTGTATGGGAAATAGGCTTCTGTGGCTGGTTTCTTCACAGCATTCAGTTCCGTACATTTAGCATTTGTGACGGAAATTAATGAGTTTTCTGTAAATTCCATTCACTTCTCATTTACTTGTCACCTTGTACCCGTGCACGCTAACTGTTGGCAGCGCTTTCATTGCACGCACTTATTTTTGAATTTATTGCCTTAGATTATGTAACTGTACGCTTTTTATTGTAATTCTGCATATTAACTGTCATTCTCTGCATTATATCATGGTACTAAAATCTACTCTATCTACTTGACGAAGATATAACAGCGTCGTCCTAGCGCCTTAGACCCGACCTCTATCTTAAACTCAGACACAGCTCATGCTGAAAAGGTAGGCCTCCTCTACCAGGAAAATCAAGAGAGTAACAACTACCTACCGAGGTGGTAAATTTCTGCTCCGAACAGAACTCAGAGAACGTATTCCTTACCTCACTTAGAGGCTCTACAGAAGCTAGCCCTAGAAGGCCCCGAATACACAGTCAAAACCAACAAAAGCCGACACAAGGTACCAATACCTCCACTCTCTTCTTGCTGCGAATTAGCACATGCAAATAACCAGTATCAAACAGACCAGCACAGGCCATAACGTGTTCGCTGTAAGCACCACTGCCTAATCCGATCAGAGGTCCATCTTACGCGGCTGCCGCAGCTAAGGCTTAAAGATACTAGTCACATAACTACTACGCCCCGGCACACTTAAAATAAAATTATATTTACTATATCCTAAGGAAGCCACCTGCTCCACCAGTCAAGACCTTAAGGCTAAACTCAGCCAGGAATTCCCACCTTCCCAAGATAGGAGTAAAGGTATCCACAGTCAGAAACTTACAAAAAGGAAGGTCTAGCCGTTGACTGTCACACGAAGGAGGACCTTGACAAGCTTAAAAATACGCTAAACAGTGCAAAGGGACAAGAACTGGTAGAGACCAAGCTTCCCGCCACAAGACTTCCAAGAGTTGCTATCCACAGCGTCCCACATGAAGTCCAGGAACACGAAATAGAACGAGCTTTGGCATCGGAGCACAATGCTACCAAATCAACAGTCAAGATCCTCTACCCTCCTACCGCCTCCGAGATAGAAGAAACACAGTTAAATGGGTTCTTGACTGCCAACCTACAGTCTACCAGCGAATCATGCAGGCTCCCAGACTCTACCTCGGCTGGCGGGCATACCGAATTGCAGACTTCTATAACACCAAGCGATGCTACAGATGCCAGATGCCAGGAACTCGGCCACACTCAAAAGGAGTGCTCCAACAAACATTATTGTGCATACTGCACAGAAGAACACGACATCCGTGAATGCCGAGCGCAGCAGCCCGCGTGTATCAACTGCGCAGACTATAACTATAGGGACAAACAGGAAGCATCCCCTGCGAATCATCCAGCCTATGACGTCAACTGCCCCTCGTACGGAAGATACATCGCTAATATCAGGACGCAGTACCAGATACGAGTGATTTGCCACAGCGCCGCCCACTCAAATAATGCAAACACCAGACATCCAACGAGAGAAGTTATCAAATGCATCCAGATTAATTTACAAAGAGCAAAAAGCCGCCGCGTCACAATTGATCCAACATACAATCAACCATCAACCAGATATACTATTGATTCAAGAACCTTACTGCAGAGCAGGGGAAGTCGCCTGTTTTTTGCCACTCTGTTGGAAAATATTTCAGCGCAAAGCACAACAGAATGAGCCACCACCAAGAGCAGCAATCGCCTGCTGCAACCCGCTCTGGTCCCCGCTGATAATTACACAGAAGCGAGACCATGTAGCAATCCTTCCTCAGCTTCTCAAATTCACAGATCATCATTTCCTCCATCTACAGTCCCCCACCGGATGATATCCACCAGACCATCATGAGCATCGAAGAAGTTAAAGACAAAGTGCCCCACAACATCACATGTTATAGGCGGTGATTTTAATGCCCACAACATCATATGGGGTTACCCAGCTACCACTCCAAAAGGGCAAGTCTTGGAAGACTACATATTGGCCAGCAATCTGCAAATCATAAAACCCCCCAACGCGCCACCCACATTTGACAACACGTACCACCACGGATGGCCAGATATTACAGTGACTACTAATGATATAGCCAATAACCTACAAGACTGGATGGTAGCAGATGAAGGAGAGCTGCTCGGACCATTCGCTACATACACTTCAATATTGCAAACGACACAAGGATCAGCTATCTTTAAAAGATACAAACTTCCGGGTAACAAATTGCGAGTACTTACCAAAGCTTTCTCTCTAACATTACAGCAAGAAGAGCAAGGAGCTAAGTCAAATACAAGAGCCCCAATGATCTGAACACTTATACCGAGCGGCTGCCTGACACTATACGGAGCATTTGCGATCAGCACCTTGCCCACCAGAGCAGCAAAACGTTTGCAAGGAATTTCCTGGTGGACAAAGGAACTGCGACAGCAACGGCAAACGTGCAGGGCTTTACGACGTCGCCTTCGCACCAACATCAATGAAGCCACCAAAGAATGCAATACTAGCAACCTTTAGGAAGGAAAGAGCGCATTATAAAATAATATCCTTAAAGCCAAATAACCAGCTGGCGTAAGTTCTGCACAGAAAATAACAACCCATATGGAATTCTACACAAGCTTGCCACCAACAAGGTCTTTAAGCCGGATCAACTCTATGCCCAAATTGCCAACCAACCCATTACCACCAACATAGCAGAATCCACGGCAGCCACAAACCTTAAACACAGTCTTCCCAGCAGACGATCCGGACGATGACACGCCAGAGCAAAGGCACACAAGGGGAAACACCACTATCCCAGAGACTTCAGACGACGAACCATTTGAAATGGAAGAGATCAAGCAAATCTTTCGACAGCTTCCAGTCAAAAAGGCACCAGGTCCTGACGGCCTGGATTATGCAATAATCAAGGTCGCCTTCAACGCTCGACCCCACTTACTTTAAAGTTCTGTTTAACAAGCTTCTTCTACATTGTCAAATCTTCCCTACTGCATTCAAACAAGGACAGGTCGTCCTGTTTTTAAAAAAGCACAAATCCCCGGAAGATCCAAGATCCTTTAGACCCATATGTCTGTTATCTGCATTGGGTAAGATCTACGAAAAACTGCTAGTCAACAGGCTGAAGCACCATCTATACCGACCAAAACTTTCTTAGCCCACATCAATATGGAATTCAGGACAGGCACATCTACCCTCCATGCTCTAGAACACATTCGAAAACATATAAATGACAACAGAATCAACAATCTACATACTGCATTTTATCTCTTTAGATCTTCAAAGTGCCTTTGATACTCCTCTGGTGGCCTGCAATAAAGCAGGCCCTCAGGGAGGCAAAGTGTCCCAAGAACCTTTTTAATATCTTCACTGACTATCTCCACTCTAGAAGTCTAATTATAGTCCAATAATAACGGTGTCGTCACTAAACAGCGGGAAAGAGGGTGCCCACAGGGCTCATGTGCCGGGCCTCTACTGTGGATAATCACGTTTAATTCCTTATTACAATCAAATGGCCTACCCATACCAGAGTGATAGCATATGCAGATGATGCGGCATTGCTAGTCTCTGGCCGCACAAGAGAAGAACTCGAACGAAATGGTACGGAAACCTGTTCCATATTTTCAGATAAATGCAGTAGACTTAAATTGATCATTTCCGCACAGAAGTCAACGTCAGTAGTCATCCCACGACCGAGAACTAATCCAACGCGACGGCCGTGTATAAAATTGATGGCACGAAATCTAAAGATCTCAAAAACCATAAAGTATCTCGGACTTACATGGGATCAGGGTCTCACATGGCTGCCCCACCTTCAAGACATCAGAGTCAAGACAGCAAATATAGCTAAGAAAGCCAGACAATTCCAGGGAAGCAACTGGGGGCAAAACCCTCACATCCAGAAACTGCTATATCTAACGGTAGCGGAGAGAATTGTTCTTTACGCATCGGCTATATGGGCGCAACCAATGAGCAGTCGCAAGATCAAACTCTTGACAACAATACAACGGCCATTTGCTCTAAACATAAGTAGGGCATATAGGACAACGGCATCAAGTGCAATAACGGTCCTTGCGGGACTAACACCCCTGCACATAAAGGCCAGCATAGAAGCTGCATATGAGCGCCTAATTAGGCTAAAACAAGATGCCAACTTTGCTGGCACCGCCTTCCATGCAACCAGTATGAATTACCAGGAAGTGTGCAGTATGTGCACCCGGCACACAAAAGTAAAGGCATCCATGTCGTGACAGCACAACACCCAACGCCTCTCAGAGAAACTCCACATGTGAACTCACGATTCTACACCGATGGATCAAAGCATGACAATGGAGTGGGATGCGCCTTCGTTCACTTCAAAAATGACCGAGTGGGAAAGCAAATGGAAAGGCCATCTCGCTACCCACAACAGCATTTTCCAGGCAGAAGCTGTGGCAATAGCAGCTGCAATTCAGTATGCTCAGGATATCAATCTAGCAGCAACCGAAATTCACACAGACAGCATGTCAGTGCTACAGGCAATCATGAATCACCACCATACCTCACCCACAATTATAGCAATCCAACAGCTCTGCGTAACAATATGCAAAACACACATCAAACTAATCTGGGTGAAAGGACATGATGGCATAGAGGGTAACGAGATGGCAGACCAGTTAGCAAACGAGGCGGCACTCAACAACGACGCGCAAGAGGTGACAACTCCAATCCCGACTTCGTATTTAAAGCGAAAGCTAAGAGAACTAAGCAAAGAACAGTGGCAACAGGAGTGGGATAACTGTGATACAGGAAGAAGGACACACGGATTCTACCCAATAGTAGACAACGAACGTCTCCAGGCCATTGCACCCTTGACATACTATATCACGGGGCACGGCCCATTTCCATCCTATTTTCAAAGACATGCAATTTCGATGACAGATATATGCGTCTGCGGGGCAACTGGCTCCCCGACCCCGACACTACTATTTTGAATGCAGCCTTACATCCAACTTACACCTACCACTCCCAGCCACAAATATAGAATCATATAAACGATTCATCATTAAGCACCCACCAGCGGTCAAAAAGATCTGCCAAATAATTAGGCAGGTCAACGACCTAGGGCAAGATATCTGCCAACCAAACTAGCGTCAATTAAGGCGTCTCATAAAGCAACCACAGTCAGCTTTCACCAAATCATCAACAGAATTCTGACAGTCTCTTATACTGACAATCAGCTGAATGCAACTTACAATATGTTTAAATTATGTGCTGCGCTTATAACATAACTGCACTATACACTACCAACATGTATATATAACCGCTGAAATGTCCCTACAGCGCATGAAGTACTTTTTTTTTTCTTTTTTTAGAGACATAGCTGCTTACTGCGTACAGTACTCACTTACGGCGTATAGAGCAAACTACTGACTATGAACAGATTGCTACCTGCATTGTGTCTCTGTAGTAGTTACAACGACTGAAATATCTATAGAAGTATTTCCTGGAATAACCACAGTTATTACAACAACTGCAAGTTATATATCAGTGTATAAGGTACTGTGCGCAGAGTAATTGGAACGCACTGACAAATCGTGTACAGAACTCATCAACAGTGTACAGAGCTCAACACTGACTAATCACAGATTACTACTTGCATGTCCATGCTAGTCCATGCTTAACTGAACAGTGTAAAACAAATGTGTATCCGACTTTGCATTGTGTAACCATTCTGTAAGCATTGTGTATATAACAAGCATCATGTATCTATTACAATACTAATATGCACTGTGTATTCTACAACATAGTGTTTCTCCTACAGTCATTGCCAGTACTGTATTACACAAACGCGTTATACAAACTATCTGCAATAAATAAGCACCTCATTCTGCACTGAATTTGTCAAATTCTGCACAGTTTCTGCTGTATATAAAGCATATAATTACTATGCAACTATCTACATTGCGTGTGCACTACCTGCAATACCTTACAACCTGTTGTGTATCTGACTTTGCACTGTGCATTTGTTCTGTGAGCAATGTGTATATAAAAAGTACTGTGTACCTACTTTAATCCAATAAACACTGTGCATCTAATATAATATAAAATAAGCTCAGCGCATTCTATAACATAGTGTCTCCACTACAGTTATTGCCTGCACATCATATATCTGTATTACTCAAACTATCTGTATTATATCTGCACTGTATATGACATATGCATAATGTATAATTCATCTATATCTATCAATATTGTATCTGCATTACCTGTATAATCTCATAGCTTCGCATAGAAATATATAGCTTGGCAACATAGCATGCATGGTGCTGCGTACTATAATTGTGTGTATACAATAGTATAGATTTTTTTTTTTTAATGTGTAAGTATAATTGTGTTTATATAATTGTGCACAATTGTGTTATATACCATAGTATAGTGTTTTATTCTGCGTGTTTAAAATACGTTAGTATAATTGTGTTTGCATAATTGTACACCATAACTGTGTTGTATATAGTAGTATAGTGTCTTATTTCGTTTGTACAATTGTGCGCAGTATAAATTCTAATATCTAATGCTTTACAAGCATAGTGGTATCTGTTTTTTACATTGTGTATCAATTCTGTAAGCATTATGTATATAAAAAGCGCTGCATATCTATTCAAATTAAATAAGTATTGTGTACCTGATATAACGTATTGAAGCATAATGTATTCTACAGAGTAAAGTTTCATCTGTAATTACTATATCATCCTAATAACAAAATTTAATATTCTACAGTGTGCCTGCATGCTTTATGTATGTTTATTTGCGCATTTTACATGTGATATGTGATCCTAAATGTGTCTAAATGATCTAAATGTGTCTTTAAATGTGTAAGTGTATACTATATATTAGCTTATTTATATTTCATTATAAGTATATGTTTTACTTTACTTTCATTATAAGTATGTGTTTTCACTTATAAGTATATGTTTGTATAGGTGTGTGCAAACTAATATCTAATTTCTATTTTTATATAATGTGCTTTACATGTTTTATATGTGTTATATATGTGCTTTTATATGTGTTTTTACAAGTGTTTTGTATGTGTATCTTTATATGTGCAATTATATGTACTTGTATGTGTATGTATATGCTGTAATTAGTGTCTAACAGTGTCTAAAAACCAAGATGTAACAAATCATCTGCCTATCGATCAAAACTAATGTATTCCTAAGACGCTTCTGTATGGCCATGTACAATTACGTAAAATTCTTCAATAAACTCCCAAGGTGGCCTCATGAGGCTCCTGGGAGTTGCTGCCACTAGATAGGGGAGGGCGCGGGACATATGCCTGTTTACCTCTGTTAAACATCAGGCGTCCCCGTCCTCCGTCACCTGTCACCTGTAGCCGTATAATTCTTTTGTGTTGGATTAAGGATTTTACTAAAGTATGCCACAGTCTGTCGATTGTGCGTCACAACAGTGCCAACTGCATAACTGGAATCTTCTGCGGTGAATTCCAAGTTCGTATCTCGTTAGGGAATTTTAACACCGAGACTCCTCCGTCACCTGTCACCCGTGTAATAGAGGCGACATATACGAGAGTCCTTCACCCTGTGGAAAGACGCCTCCTTCGCAGGTACTCTCTACAGTCCAGCACTTTATGAGCACCCCAAGACACCGCTGCATACACATCCAGCGCATAAAGGACTAGGGGTCCACACCCACATCATGCAACAGCCCAACAAGGAAATACAGCACATCAGCAACCATAGACTTTACACTGATGGTTCTAAACATGCTGAAGGCGTTGGCAGTGCTTTCTTGCACTGTTGGCAAGGCCAAGAATTACATCATTGGAAAGGCCACCTAGGTGACAGCAATAGCGTCTTTCAGGCCGAAGTGATAGCAATTACAGCTGCTGTTGAATATCTAATAAGCCGAAAAATCTCAAAAGCTTATCTCTATACGGATAGTATGTCTGCCTTGCTGGCCCTAAGCAAACACAACCATGTTTCCCCGTTGATCATCCGCCTTCAACAACTCTTAAAAGATAACCCACAGGTACACGTGGACATGACGTGGGTGAAAGCTCACGAGGGCAATGCAGGTAATGAGGCAGCGGACGTGCTCGCCAAAGAGGCAGCCTCAAACATCAACGCACCGGCATCGTTGTTCCGGCGCCACCTTCCCATCTTAAAAGACTGCTGAAAGGCGCAGCAGTCCAGTGGTGGCAAAGAGTATGGGAACATGGAAACACAGGAAGAAGAGTGTATGGCTTTCTACCGATGGTGACAACGGAGAGACTTCATAGCAAACGCTCCACTTACTAACTTTGTAACTGGGCACGGTCCCTTCCCGGACTACTTCAACAGACGCACTATTTCTAACACGGATCGCTGTGTATGCGGGGAAGAGGGGACACCCGATCACTATATCTTCCATCTTCCGGTGCCCACTCACAGAACAGTATCATTTCCCTGAACCCCCGAACATACCTGCCTTCCACAAGTTTTATCCTTAAAAAATAAAGCGGCAATCAACACAGTGTGCAAAATCGTTAACACTATTAAGGCCTACGGCCAAGACCTTTGCCTCCCATTATAAAACAGTGCTATTCATAATGGTCTCAGTGACTGCATTCTGCCTTAACAAACTGTGCAACAACACATACTGCATGCTGTATACCGCTAGTGTTTCACTTGTGGGTATTGCGTACATTCTGCGCAATGTGCCTAGTACTGCCACTGTAAAGTACTTTCCCTGAAACTATACTGAACTGCCACTATAACTGTGCACCTTATAAGTAGTTTCATGTGTTTAATGCAATGTGTGTGTTTAACGTAATGTTTATATATGTTTTATGCTGTTTAATATCGTATTGTGTGTACTTTGTATCATTGTACTGTTCTGTTTTGTATATTTTGTGTTGAACTGTGTTTTCTCTATGTATATTTATTTGTCATGTATTTCAAATGTGTGTGCTTAATTATGTATCATATTAATGTGTAATGTGTATATGTAATAATGTATGTATGTAATGTATATGTAATTATGAATCATATTGATGTATAAGTAGTATTTTATGTGCAAGCAGTAACCCAAGTGTAAGCAGTAATTTATGAGTAATAATATGTAATGTAATGCATATATTTAAGTATATTAATGTGTAAGGTAATGTGTATATGTAATTATGTATCATATTAATACGTAAGCAGTATTGTCTGTACAAGCAGCAAATCATGTGTAAGCAGGAATATGTGTGAGCAGTAACTTAGGTGCAAGCAGTAACTTACGTGCAAGCAGTAATTAATGAGTATTTATGTATCATACTAATGTGTAAGGAGTAATTTATGAGTATTTATGTATCATACTAGTCTGTAAGCAGTAACTTACGTGTAAGCAGGAACTTATGTATCATCAGTAGGCAGCAATTCATGAGTACGTAATAATTTATGTACAATGCAACAGAATATGTATGTAATGCAATGGTATAACGCAACTATGCACAATGCAACTATGTAATATGATCCTTGACTGAAACAGCATGCTGTTTCATACTCCGCACTGAATAACCAAATGTGTGCAAACTGTGATCCGAATGTTGCCATATGTACAATGCTATATGCAATAATGTATCATATTAATGTGTAACCAGAATTTTAAGTGCAAGCAGTAACTTATATAAGTAGTAATTTATGTGTCATCAGCAGGCAGTAACTTATGTGTAAAGTAGCAGTTATGTATAGAGCAACAGTATATGTGTGTAACGCAACGGTGCATTGCAACTATGTAGTATATTCTTTAACTGAAACAGCATTTTGTTTCATATTCCGCACTGAATAACCCAATATGAGTGAACTGCGATCTGAATGTTGCCATATGTACAATATGGCAACATTCAGATTCAGATTATGATACACAATTGCATAATACAATATTATGCAATTGTGTATCATATTAATGTGTAAGCAGTATTTGTCAGTATTTGTATCATAATAATGTGTAATTATGTATCAAATTAACGCGTAATGTAGCATGTATATGTAACTGAGCATCATATTAATGCACCATATTGATGTAATCATATTAATGTAAGCAGTATTTCATGTGCAAGCAGTAATTCAGGTACAAGCAGTAACTTATGTGTATGCGATAATTTACGAATAAGCAGAATTTATATGTTATCAGTAGGCAGTAATTTATGAGTAAGTAGTAATTTATGTTGAAGTATCGATAAACTCCCGGTGCGCCCTTATGGGGCCACAGGGAGTTGTTGCGTTCTGGATAGGGAAGGGTGTGGGACATATGCCTGTTTACCTCTGTTAGACGCCAGGCGTCCCCGTCCTCCGTCACCTGTCACCTGTCACCCGTGTAAGGTGTTCAAATGTACTATTTGCTTCGGCCGACTAAGTAAATCTAACTTTCTTCCTTTTCCGCAGATAAATGTTTGTGCTCTAGCTCTGGTGGTCGTGCTTTTTCGTCATCCATCTTCTTCATATCCAACTGCGCTGTAGATTCCTGAAAATGTCATTTCACGCCCGCCACAGTCAAGAAATCCCTATCCAAGATTAAGGACGCTTGAAGTTATTTTATTACAAAAAATGCTATCTTTTGGTGTTCATTTTTTACTTTATTTTTACGTTCAAAGCTGTTCTATTTATGCACTTTCACTACCTCCCTTGACCTGCCGTGAAATTCCGCCCTCAATCGCGCACATAAGGTATCTTTTAATGTTTCTTAGAAAAATCATTTTCTGCCATAAAAACTACTCTGAGTTTCAATATCTAATAAAGCATTTGCTGGCACGTTATTTAACAACACTTGGAACAAAAGCAGAGCCAAATTATTGACAATTACTGCATTAAGCTGGATATTAAAGGAATTTCCTTCCCTTCCGAATAACTGTACTTTTTTGTCTTCCGTATCCCTGCATAGTTTAAATTTTGCTTATTTTCTTAGCCTTCTTTTGCCTTTTTTATGAAGCCCGGCACTCGCGGTTAATCTTTTTGTCTATTTTCAACATGCTTATTTTGGTCATTTAATTAAATTTGTGACATTCACTGTATTGCAAGACTGTCTGTTCGGCTTCTGGTCATATCCTGACACGAGTATATTTTTAGGGACCTTTCGACTTTCAAATTTCACAGCGAGTACGAATAAATTTTCAAGAGTATTTGAATATCTTATATAAAAAAAATCCTGGATTTGGGAAAACAATCTATGCTAAATAACTTGAATCATCTCCGCCTCCGGCTTTTTCCCGTACAAGAAATTAAAAATTTGGATTAGTAAGAACTCGATCAGTTCTGCGAGCCTTAGCTGGCATTGACTGTAAAGTTCGGCTTCCAACTTGGTTGTATCTTTTATTACGTGGGAAGCTTTTATGAGGGCGTTTTGAAAACTTTCAAATTTGTAGGTTTCACGTTCTGGATCACCTAAAAAATTTCCCGATACGTTTATACCAGCGAAAGTCTGTTTCTCGTAAAGCGGCAGTTACTACTGTGACTTTCTAATGTTCCAGTAGCTGGTAATGTGCACATAAATGTTCAAGGAAGGTATTCACCAAAATTCTTCCATCAAAAGTCATTGAGAATTTCATGGTTGCCCGCATGATATCGACAACGAAACCAAATCCCTCCATGGGGTTAACTGGGGTCGGTGGAGCTTATAATGTTGAAGGGGCCAGACTTAAATTTCAACTTGCTTGTGCCATGGCCCTTACTTTAGACGGACAAGCAAAAATTTCTTCTGAATCCATTTAAAACCAATTTTATAATTCGTTTGAGGAAAATGATTTCTGTATTCTATCATTACTTACAGATGTCACGCAACAACATCGCTAAATTGCATCCGATAGCGGTCGAAATGGATATTTTCGTTGAAATACGGAACTTTGAATATTTCGGGAATACAATACTTCCTTTACTTCGTACAAGGAGGTAAAAACAGAAGGTGATATTGCATGAAATTTATTCAGTGAAAGCCGTCCATTTCAAGGAAATTATATCATTGAATTTTCTAAATAATAAACTAAGTGAAATGCTAAAAGTAATGGAATAAACTATTCTGAAAGTATTTTGAATAACCTAGTGCTTTCCGAAAAGTTAAAGGAAGATTACCTAAGTGATTTTGAAGGAATCTCGCCCTGACGGAAAGTGATTAGTGACTTTTACTTCAGTATCGAAGGGCCCGGGTTCGAATTCCCAGCATGGATGTAAATTGTGTGTCCCTTCACAGGAGGCAATGGTGACCGTGTATTAGGTACTTCCATAATAAAATAACCGCCTCTCGCCTTAGTACTGGCCAAAGCCTAAAATGGCTAGCGCCCACCATTGAAAAGAAAAAATATCTGATGTGTACACCGCATGACTTCCTTGCACGGAATGTTAAATTATACTTAATTTTCCTGCATTTCATTTCAACATATTGAATTAACAGTTAAGGAATTTTGAATTAAATCTACTTCGTCGATAGCGCATAAACCACAATAGAATAAATGCACTCTTTGAAGTCCACTTTATTTATTGACCATAGCGACACTTTGGCATTACATCTCATTCGTTTTATAACTCAGAGAGCACAAAAATTACATCGTCTGAAGAATTTCGACATGTTCTACTCAAATACAATAATAAATATAAAAGAAATTAAATAAATAAAAAATAAGTAGTTTTTCACAGACGATTGAGCACCGCTTACCTAATGCGCATCTGCTACTAATTAATTCAGTTCTCACTTCGCGACAAGATAAAAATACATAAAATTTTAAAATAGTTTCATTAAAAATTGAAAGATATAGAAAAGCATAAGTACAGTTAAAACAATTAAAAACAATTGTTATAATTAAAATTACAGTTTCTACGCAAAAATAAGCTATTCGGTCAGCGGGAAGAAGGCAAGTTTTCGGTGCACAAAACGGAAAGTTTACTTTTGGTCTTAATCGGCAAAAAGACACTGAAGCCGCAGAAACTGCCTTAATTCGTGGCGGATGCTATGCTGAGTCAATATACGGGATAATTTAATAACTTAAATCATAATTCCGGAATGAATTAAAAATAATTTAATTCGCAGTCTTAAAAAAGACGTTACTTTGTTGTTGCGAAGTTTAGTTTCTCTATATTGGCAACACATCCACTAACTATTCTACTGAGTTTCAAATGTAAACAAATATGGCTGCTATGGTAAATAAATTAGACTTAGAGGCACTT